AAACGGCTAAAATGTCAAGTTTAAAGTGGTAATATATTCATACTTCACTTCAAAGTCCTTAATATTAAGTTATTTTCTAACTTAATTAGTGATAGGCTACAACCTTTTGCCATTGTTCAAAATTTACGCACAAAAAATAGTTGAGGCCATTAGCAAAATGATTTCATTCTAGAATTATAATTGCAATTAATTTTAAAGTCCTAATATGGTAAAGTTTTAACTTTGACAATTTTATCCAACATAGGATTATCCATCGAAAGATATAGATATTAGATAGATAGATATAGATAGATAAATTACATTCGGAGTAGATACGTATTTTTAGTTATGTAATCCTGTTACTTTTAGGATATACTTCTTAAAAAATTTCTATTGCTAATTTAATTTGAAAATGTATCATAATGTCCTATTACTAATTTAATTTGAGAATATATTATATTGTCCAAATTTATTTAGAAAAATAAGAGCCTATATTATTATCAAAATAATAGTACAAATAGACCAAAATAACCATAAAATATTAGATGAAAGAACTCATAGGAAAAGGACATAACTGCAATAACCTATTTGTTGGACTACAATATCTTCTACGCTAATGTTTAATATTTAAGATTTTAAAATTAATAAAATTCTATTTATTAAATTCTTATTATAAATATGTAGGAACGTTTAATAAAATTAATTTCATAAAAATTAATCCTCTGTATTGGCAATACATTACCACTCCATAATGTCCAATACCCACAAAAAGGTAATATTAAATGGACTGCATAAAAAGTTAAAATTGAGAAGAAATAAAAATACCCCCACGATAATATATTTTTATATTATATTTGAACTACGTTCCTACTCAAATAATATTTTTTAAATCAATTTTTCTTGTAATATTGAAAAATATTCAATTATTAAACAACAACTAAGAAAATATTTAAGAATATAAATATGTGAGAAAAAGGGGAAAAAATGGTTGGTATGGTCAATACCACTAATGATTCTACAAACATAAAGATCTAAACGCGAAATGTCAGATCAATCTTTTAGTCTTTGAAAAAAAAATTATGGTGGATGATATTCGAAACAAGAGGTGAACTAATATTAAGATTTGAATCAACATAGAATAAAATATTTTTATATTAAAACTAAATAATTAGATCTTTTAATTAATTATTTAGCAAGAGAATCCAATTCAATTATTTTTTAAATTCATGAGTAAAATTCTTCTTCGAGTTTAAATTTTTTTTATGGTACATAAATTTAAAAGGTTAGTATATTATTAAGAATCAAAATGTTATACAAGTGTCTGAGGAAACACAATCAAAGCTAAATCTTAAACAAGAACAAGTTTTCAAGACTATATTACAAAGATTCGACTCTGGTATAACAGGATTATTCTTTGTAGATGCCTCCGGTGGAATCGAAATAATATTTTTATGTCACGCATTACTTGCAAATATCATATCAAGAGACATGACACTATTAACAATAATAGCAAGTGATGTACCAATAACGATTTTATTATGAGGCCACCCACTTTAGATTTGATATACATCTTCAAACAATTTAAATAACCATCACAAATTTATAAGAAAAGCAAAGTTGATAATATGGGATGAAGAACTTATTGCTAAGTGTCAAACGATCGAAATAATTGCCCGGAGTTCTAGAGATATATTGGATATTAATGAACCGTTTGGTGGAAAATTAATGGTTTGGGAGGTGATTTCTGTCAAGTACTACAGGCAGTTCCAAAATCGACAAAAACATAACTAACTTGCCAAAGTTATACTTTTGGCCTTAAATGAAAAAGATTCAACTCACAAGAAATATAAAGTAAGAACATATCAAGATTTAGTGTCTTCTTGCTTCGTGTCGAAAATGAAGAAAAGCATCCAATAAAATATGATTTGGTTCTTCCTGAACACTTGGTTATCAACTCCAATGGTAATAATAGTGGATTTAATAAGAGAAATATTTCTATCATTAGATTAAAACGCAAATTGTGCAAATCGCATGATAGAATTAAAAAGATATCTTAACTAGCAGAAATGAATATGTTGATCAACTAAAGTAAAGGTGGATTGCAAAATTTTATAGTAAAAACAAAATATTTTTCAATTTTTGACTCAGCAGAAATGATACCAATAATTACTACTAAGAAGAATATACTTAAATACTTTAATACCAAATGGCCTTCTACCATACATTTTTGTTGTCAAGGTTAATATTTTTTTTACGTATGTTAGTGTCACCGCATATATTATAGACTAAGTTAAAATTGATCTTCTATTATATATAGGTTGATTTTGAAGAAAAATATGTCCGTCATGCTACCGAAAACTTAGATACACCGAATAACTTATGTAATAGCACACAGATAGTATATAGAAGTTTTCACAATAACGTCATAAAAAAATTATGATACTGGTCATTGTGCTTCTAAGTATAATTTTATCCCTAATTCAACTTTCGTCTTCCGAAACTAAGGAATATCCTTTTAAATTTATATGAAAATAATTTTTAGTATGTTTATATTTTGCAAATATAATAAATATACAAGGACAAACATCCTAAATATTAGACTATATTTAACGCAATATATTTTCTTGCATGAACAACAGTATGTTACACTTTCAAGAGGGATATGAAGAATTCAGATTTAGGCAAATCAACCAAAGCATTAGGAGGTAACATACACAAAAAAAAATATTATTCACAAAAATTATCTAACACGACAAAATTGACCATTTTTGTAAGTTTTGATGTTGTCCTTTTATTTTAAATTCATGTATTATGCTAATGTAATAATATTTTTCGGCATTTAGATGATTGTTGTATTATTATACATAAATTTACTCTCATTAATTAAATTTTATTATTCTTTCATAGAAATAAATGTTTAAACCATCACGTGTCATTATTAACGTGCAACGCACGTTCATAGATACTAGTTTTCTTATAAAAGTACGTATGTAGTACCTTCTACTTCAGTTCAAAGACGGAATCAGAATTTTGAGTTACACTACTAAAAAGGGGGGAAATCGAATGACAACATCGACTGATGTTAACATCGATCGTTGTTGGTCGGTAACTGAAAAAAATCGATCGAAAATCGTTCGATTCATGACAGTCGGTAATCGTATGGTCGGTAAAGCCAACCGACTGTTTTCGATCAGTATTTTCCAACTGATTTCGGTCAGACAATTAAATTCCACAATGACCAAAAAAGAAAAAGAATCTGTCGAAAAAAACCGACCGACGTAATTATGTAATAAAAAATTGCACAATCTGGGTATCGAACTGGGCTTTGCTTTGTGGAAGGTTACTACTCTACCACTAGACCAATGGTGCATTTTATTTTAAGACATTCTTTTATTTTATTTATACGATCTAATTACATTTTCGCGCGAAAATAACCAACCAATTTCGGTGAGTTTAATTAAATAAATTAAATTACCGACCGTAATCGGTTGGTTTTTTAATACGATCGACCAAAATAACCGACCCATTTCGATTGGTTTTTTTAATATTAGTTTTATTTAGGTTAAATGAAAACCAACCAAAGTTGGTCGGTTTCTTGAAAAATAAATTTTTTGGGATGCAAAATATAGTTTCCCGCATTTTTGCGCCAAAAAAAAACCCGACCGAACTTGGTTGGTTTCGTAAAAAAAATTAAAGAAAAAATATTTTGAAAACCGACCGACTTTGGTCAATTTTTTGACCGACTGAAGTCGGCCGGTCGGCTGCGATTGATTTTGGCCGAATTTCTAGTAGTGTTAATGAGTTCCAGATTCTTAAACATTGGGAAAATGTTACTGTTTAGTCGCTGTAAAAATAATAACCGAAAAAATGTATAAAATTTCTATATCTTTTGTATATATATACATTCTGTATATTATATACAAAAATTATACAAATTTTATACATTTTTTCAGCTGTCAAATGTAAATAGTTTCGGGCGCGGGCTAAAAATGATAATACCCCTTAAACATTCAACTTATTGGGTCCAGGATAATTTAGTTTTACATGTTAAGTTGATTGTCTAATATGAATATACAACGTATATATGAGCCAAAGATATTGAGTTCTGCCGAATCCGTATATAAAATTGTAGCTCCCTGAGTTTGCAAACGACTTCTGTGAACATCAAGAGCTACTGTTTATAATGAAACATCAGAATAATTATTCATAGATATGAACCATTCATGCCAGCCGTGCACAGTGTAAGTGTCACTTTATATTTCTGTTAAAAGCCTAATTTGTTTTCTTTTGTGAAACTGGTCCCAAACCCTAAAAATCCCTTTACATATACCCAACCTAAACATCCACATATTTTTGTCAAGTTGATGATTGTACTGACTGATATTTTACTGAAATAAGAAACTTTTTTACTCTCAATTCAAGTTTTTACTGTCACATGTTATTAAAAAGAATTTCCGAGTACTTGACTCATAAAAATAGGAGTGCGCGTAAAGGGGTGTATTGAAAATAAAATTTAAGTAAATGTTAAGATTTTATGTGTAATTGTCACACTAGGTAATTAACATAATTCACTTCTGTCATGCGTTTTAAAAAGAAGAAAAGTTAAAAAAGAATTGTTTTGTATAATATCTATGAATTAATATTTTTCCTGAGCCGAGAGTCTATCGGAAATAGTATTTATACCTTCACAAGGTAGAAGTAAGACTGCGTACACACTATCCTCCCAGATCCCACTTGTGGGATTATACTGGGCCTGTTATTGTTGTTGTTGTAGTAGTAATATCTATGAACTACTATATAAAAGAATTAACCTAAGATGCTGTTTACCAACCTCTTACACTAAAAATAGTGATAGATATATAATATTATATATAATTCATGTATAATATATATATATATATAATCAATGTATAATCTCTGTATATAGGTCAACAAAAATAAACAGTTAATCCGACCGGATAATTGCGTAAATATCCCTTAAAAAGTAGTATTTGCGTTTTTGGGGAGAATATTCGATAAACTTGAAAATCAATCACACAAGTAGATAGATGAACAAGTGATAAATGTTCTTGTTATCATCTTGCTCAAAAACTATCATTATAAGCTTACAAAGATCACCACCACACAGATCAAACTTACTAGTACTACTTAATTTCTTATTAAAATTTTCGTACGTAGCTTGACTTACAGGCTACAACTCTCACTCTCACTAATATTATTCTAGCTATCATTATGATCTCAAACTCAATTTCACACTACTAATTTGGTGCTAATCCCTTTAATTAACTCAAGAAATTTAATGATAACCCTAATTTAAATACTACTCAACCATGAACAAGGCCACTAGATAATGCCATTAGCAAAATTGCAGCTTCCTTCTCATCCTGTGGAAAAACGCGATGTAACGCCAAATTGTTGCTCAAGTTGACGAAGAAATCCTCGAAACAAAGCTTCTTTTGTGCATTATTAATAGTAGATGAAGATGATCCAACAGCAGCAGTAGTAGTAGATGTTATGAATTTGCACCTTTTCTTGAAGGGTACAACATGATTCTTATTCACTTTTGTAGTTATCTTCTGTTTCTGTTGCACTTTTATCTTCATTGCTGTTGCTGTTGTTGTTGATGTTTCAGTCGTGAAATTTGTCCCATTTGCTGCAGCTGCAGCAGCTGCTGCTGCTGCCATGGCTCTCCTTGCTTTCCTTTGTCGAATTCCACATGCGTTACAAAGTGACTGTACCATCAAGAGTTTAAGTAAGAATTTTTACCAAAAATACAAAGTGGGGTTTTCTATTATCGAGTTAAAATGACCTACAATAACAAGTAGTAATTATCAATGAAAATCTTTTCCAGTAATTCAGCAAATCACATGTTATATTTGTTTAATAGACACTGACAGTGTAAATATTCTGTTCGTTGGTGAATTATATTGTACAAACAAGAATATTTTTTTGTATATACATTAAAATTATTGAATCCCCTTAATACAAGAATGACTTCTAGTATACTGACAAATGTGTTCAGAAGTTGCTTTAAGTCACAGATTTAAGTTTCATGTATAATTTTCTTGTATTTTTTTGAATACTCTTGTTACGACTCCTAGCTCAACTATTGATCAGTGCATATAAGTTAAACCCAAAGAATAAAAGAAGACAAAAAAACTTGAAAATGTTGGAATATATACATCATTTGACTCGTATAAACAATAATTATGTTTCAGTCTCAAAAAAGTTGGAGTTTGCGGCTCGTATAATTAGTTAAGTAAAAAAATATTACCTTAGGGCCTTTAGGACCACTTCTCCAAAGAGGGGTCTTAGTAGTGTTACAATCAGAACAAGCCCTAATTGGAATATTGTTGTTATTACTGTTGTTGGAAGAGCTGTTGCTGCTGTAATCAGTTTCCAAATTAGGAGATGATTGTTGCTTCTTCTGATCTTCTAACTTCAATTTGATATGTGAATGGTCTGAATTTTTCATCTTTTGCATCAACTTATCTCCTTTTTTCCACAAGGTTAATTTGAGTCCCTTGTTTTTCTTCTCTAGATGATCATGTGATCCACTTCTTGAAGCAAAATTATCAACCTATATGATCCACAGGAACAATTAACAAAGGCAAAAAACAAAAAGCCACTTAATTTGCATATTTTTAACATGATCCAAGTGATAGTGAAAAATATACAACCCAAAAGAGCGAAAAAGAAACTAGAAGGAAAACACAATCCAACATGAAAAAAAAAGGTAACCCTTTTCTTGTATGTACCTCAGGTTGGTAGTGTGATTGGTGGTAATTCAGAATAATAGTGTTGAAATGTGTGATTATCTGATCTAAAAGTTTAAATTATTAGAAATGATATCATACTTTTAGTTAATTATTTCTTCAACAAAAGAACATGATACAAGTGATTGTTAGAAGTTAAACCTCCAAATTTAAGCAAATTAGAAAAGGAAACGCGATCCAATATGAAAAACAAAGAACCCTAATCCTATATGTATACCTCGGGTTGGTGTTGTGGCTGGTAAAATTGAGAATGATAATATCTCGTTTGATCTTGATTAGTAGATGAATTATTGAAAAAAGTTTGGCATGACGAGTAAGAAGATGACGAAGCAACTTGATAGCTAGGGCTTACAAGAGGATTAATATGACTTAGATCATGAACTTTATTATTATTATCATTAAGTTCAAAAGGAAATGAAGGAGAAGAAGAAGAAGAATTTCTGTAAGTAGGAATCATGGGAACTAAGGGGAAGACAAAAGAAGAAAGGAAAAGGAAAAGGAAAGAAGAATTGTGATCAAAGAAAATATAATTGAAGAATGTTTTAAAACTATTTTAAAGAGAAAAGAAAGGGGCATTCACGTGACTTGATGACAACCAAACAAACAAAGTTAAAAGAGACAAACAAAAAGGAGAAGAGCAGTATGCTACCACACGACCAAATGACAGAACCCTATCTTCAAAAGTTTCATATATAATTTATCCCTCAATTAATAATAATAATTCCTAAAGTCAAAATTAATTGGAAAATATTTTTTTATGAATATCAACAACCTTATGAAGTTTGGACAAAAGCTATGTTAACCACACATAGCATTCTCATGTGCCCTCAATCATCTACCAACTCTTTCTTTTTTGCTAATATTTTCTTATTTCTCTTCCTTATTTAGGGTTTTTCATTGTGTTTGGTTCAAATTAGACATACAAATAGTAGTCGATCGACTGAGGTGGAACCAGTATTTGAAGTTACTGGGTTCAGGATTCTAACCCTTTTATGTTACTAGGTTTTAAAGTAAGAATTTGTACCTATTCAATGGACTTCTTGAGATAAATATAGGGTTTGGACTAAAGTTGTTGGATTCGGGCGAACTCGTAACCGAAGCTCTAGCTCCGCCCTTATCAATCGATGACAAAAATACAATTTATATAGGAATTCATCAAATTGTGAGTCTTGAATTTCATACGCGTGTAACTAGGTTTTAATCAAAAAGGAGATATCGTCAGGATCGTGTGAAGCTTAGCTTACTTTATCAGCCATGTAATGATTCGAGTTCATAATAAGTAAGAAGTGGATGAAGCTTGGTCTAAGATTAATCATATCCTTATAATTGGCAATGTGTAACAAATTTATATTTACGACACTTCCAACATAATGCTCGGATAATCAATATTGATTTGGGCGAAGTGCACCAATAGCTACTTTTAAGCCCGTTATGAATACTTACAATGTATTTAAAGATTAGTCAATTCACCCAAACTTCAGGATTAAGTATCCTGAATTTGGGAATTCAGGACTTAATGTCCTGAATTTTTGAGCTGCTAAGTCCTGAATTTCTGAACTATTAATTTAGAATTCAGGATATAAGATTCGAACTTCTGGACACAATTTTTGATCTTTAGGACACGATGTCCTGAAATTTGAAATTTGAGGTTTACACTCTAGAACATCGTGCCCTAAAGTTTGAGAGAAATTGACTAATATTTAAATATATTGTAAACTCTAAATATATGTTAAACAACATGCTTAAAAGTAACTACTTGGTGTCATTTCCACCTTTGATTTCCTGAAGTTAGCTAACTAATTAAAGCCAGATTTATAGTGTACTAGAGATATTTTTTTTTTAGGAGATAGTTTTGGTGAATTCCAACTAGAAAACTTTTTAAAACTAAGAAGCTTGTATAGCTTAGGAAAGGGTTTGATTGATAAAAGAAAAATTCTAAATATATATTCCTTAGGCACAAAAGAAATTAATCCAATGTTTTTATGTCTTTCTAATGATTGGTTTTCCTTGTTGTAGTTCATATTCATATTATTAGCAAAAAACATTCATATTCATTTGAAGAAAAAAAGATTTTCTTCTTATTGTGAATCAAAGTGTATATCCGGACTTGTAGCTCGACAGTTCACCAAGTGGGTTACATTAATTGTTTATTCTTCTAATTTTGATTGTCTTCTTGCTTATCGCTCACACATTAACATTCAATATTTACTTACTAAGGTCATCAGTATGCTCGAATGTCTCGCCAGTTAAAATCAAGAATGATGTTGTTCTAGGTTAAATAAAGTGATAAAAAAACATATCCTAAGTTAATCGAATATAATTGAATTTTCAATTAATCCACTAATCAAGTATCAGAGCAAAGTACTAATCAAGTAATCGAGAATAAAACAACCAAGCATGTCATACACTTGAGCATCTAAGTGTAAATAACTGAGATGACTCTACATTATGTGAATGCCTTACATACATACATACTCTAAAAATCGATCGAAATTTACCTTTTTAAACTTATTATATTTTAGTAATTCCGACCGAAATTGGTCGGTATCTTAAAAAAAAATTTAAATATAAAATTATTTTATCAACCGACATCGATCGTTATTATTAAAAAAAATAAACAAAAATTATTTTAAAATATACCGACCGACTTCGGTCGGTATATTTAATTTTTCTAGAAATTGTGTCAGATAAATTGGCCAACTCTTGGTTGAACAAACCGACCGATTTTGGTCGGAATTTGTGACCGAAGGCATGGTCGCTCTATTTTACCAACCAACCTTATTTCGACGGATTAAGGTCGATAAAAAATCAGTCGGTTTTTAAATGTTCCGATCGAAATCGGTCGGTATTCGTGAACGGCTTTTCACAATTTTCTAGTAGTGTTATAATCTATTTGAGTTTATACGTGATAGTTTTACTATGATTTTGATAATGTAATTTATTCATTTATATGTTCATTTCTTTGAATATCCAGTCTCATTGTAAAAATCATGTGCATGTCAGTGGTCGAAAAGTTAGATTTTTGCATGACAATAATTTAATTGCCACCTTAGTATTGCCAAAAGTTGCATTCAATGCTGTGCAGGCCAAGTAGTACAATATCATGTTCAGTATATCATCTGTTAACTGAGCAACGTTCCTATCGTTAATTTTAAAATTCTCTATAAGGTTAAAAAGTAAAAAGAAAAAATGTATCGTCAGTGCCAAGTGAGAAGATACAAGAAAACATTTCAAACATGAGTTGCAGTTCTACACAATGAGTCAATGATTATATAAATGTATTTTACACAATCATGGCACTTATTAGAAATTATAGGTAAATTTATTGATAAACATTAATTAATAATCTTAGTAAAATAATATCGAACTTATTAGAAACAACTTTTGTAGCTGCCAATGGTAAGGGGTAATAAGTTCTGCATACACACTATCCTCCCCAGATCATGGGCGTATCTAGGTTAAGGGGTATGAGCTCACGTGAATCCGCGCTCCTTTCCTAAAACCATGTATAACAATATTATAATTCCTTAAAGTTATTTTAATATATCTATGTGCACTCATGCTTAAAGACTCCTGTGGTGCAATAATTATAGAGAAATTTTCAGAAACCACTATGTTTTAGTGGTTATTAACTAGTTGTAGTTACCATTTACTATATTACTTCCTATAGCTATGTTTTCAGATTTTTTAGAGTGTATTCGATGTATTTAAGCTACTGTATTCATGAATACAGTAGCATTTCTAAGCGTGAAACAGGGGATTACAGCTAGACAGATTTTTGTATTCGAGTGTATTCGATTGTATTCATGGCGTGAAACATGGGATTACAGCTGGACAGATTATTGTATTCGACTGTATTCACGGCGTGAAATGGAGGATTAGACTGTTTTTAAACGGAAAGTGAATCAATTAACATAATAGACTCCTAATATAACTCAACAAACTCAATTATAACACACAAATTTTGTATTTCCATTTATAAAAAGATTCTCAACCGAAAAATACCCCAAAAACATAGCAATCTTCAGAGAAATTATATAATACATCTGAATACATAAATTATATTAATTAAAAAAAAACATATGAATATATTCATGGAATATAGCGAGACATTGAATACAATAAAATACATAGAATACAGCGGGATACATTAAAATACAATGAAAAAAAAAGATAATGAATACAATGAAATACATAGAATACAGCGAGATACATTGAAATACAATGGAAAAAAAAGACAATGAATACAATGAAATGCAGAGAGATACATTGAAATATATTAACAGAAAATTCAAGTTGCTCAGCCCCAACTCCGTCGTCTTTGTTCAAGAACAACCCCAATGTCGTCTCGTTGAAGCAGCATCAGTATCCAGTCCTTGTTCGCCGTCACCGTTGCAGACTATTAGCACGTAATTACCGGCGAAATAACGGAGGTTTTTGTTGATCCGATATGTTGCGTCAGAGAATGAGATTGGGAGGCTGAGGGCGGCGGTATCAATGAATAACGGCCACGGTTGAAACGGTGACGTGTGGCAATTGCTCTAGTGTCCGGCGGAGGAGAAGACATCGGGAAGTAAAGAGAGAAAGAGAGAGAGGGAGAATAGATATGGGGTAGAGGATAAGAGAAATTTGAGGGGATATGAGAGAGAAAAATAATACAAAGCTTATTTTATGGCTTAAGGGTAGGAGGTGACCATAAATAGATATTTGGCTATAAAAATCAAAAGTGTATCCACTAGTGCACCCACAATCTTGAAATTCTAGATCCGTGTCATGATCCAAATCCCTCTGAAGGAGTCGTGATGGCACCTAGTCTCTAAGACTAGGTAAGCCTAACATTAACAGAAATAACAATAATATTTACTAACTTCGAACAATTCCGAAATAGAAATCTCTAAGCAATTTAAAATCCCAAACCCGATAGTACAAGTCATAAGCCTTTCTAGGAGTAGTTGTACAAAATGAATGCATCATTGTTCCAGAACAAAAAGGAAACAATGGAAGTAAGTACAATAGAAGGTGATTCCGAGACCTGCGATCGCAGCAGCAGGTTTACCACGAGTCTCCACAACAACGATCCGCACAGCTACTAAAGATCAATACCTGGATATGTACAAAAAAATGTACAGAAGTGTAGTATGAGCACATCACAGCGGTGCCCAGTAAGTATCAAGACTAACCTCGGTGGAGTAGTGACGAGGAACAGTTAAGACAACTACTGGTCTAATAAATTGAACAGGATATGATAATAAACTAACACGATAAAGATAACAAAGCAATGCCAATAACAGGGAGAAATCAAATTACAACAATAGAGACGATAAAGGGAAAAATACGGATGGTAATGAAAATAACCAGGTAATTATACACCAACACAGTTGGGATACAGACAAGTAAAATGTGATCGAATAAGGGAAAAGCGATATTAACTCAACCAATCGCATCGTTTCTAATACACAAATTCCAACCATCCCGATAATCGTAACCTCATATCAAAATTCACAACTTCCAAACCTTTAACACACA